ACAGGCCAGGCCTCGCTCCCAGGGTGTGGGAGGGGGGGACTGACAGCAAGCAGGAACAAGTTGGGTCTCATGAGCACCACGCCATAAATGAAAGAGCAGGCGAGTGGGCAGAGAGAGAGTGTTGCTGGGTGCTCATTGGAAGGCTGCTGGGGTCTGGATGGCAAGGCGAAGCCCGCATCTGAACATTTTAGGAGGTGATCTAGCTGGCTGGCTACTGAATTAAATCTGCAGCGTAGTGTCTCCCACCGTGTAAGGGATTCCTGACATTGGTGGGGCCAACGTCCACAATACTGATGCCATGCAGGGATCCAGAAGGCCAGTGGCATCTTCTAATTTGTAAAGACATAAGCTAATAATTGCTACAAGATTAGAGCGGGATTTCTCAACTTGAGCTTACTGAAATACTTGGTTGAACAATTCTTTGTTGTGGAGGCTGTCCTGGGCTTTGTAGGATGTTTAACGGCATCCTTGGCTCTACCCACTCGATGCCCGCAGCATCTCCCCTTGCCCTAAATTGTGACAACCAAGAAATGTCTCCAGACACTGATAAATGTCCCCCCCTCTGGGGGTGGGGGTGGGGCAAATTTGCCCAAGGTTTGTCATCACTGGCTTAGGGAAAATGATGTCTGCCAAGCCCCCAGCAGGAGTATGTGGCCATCATTCATGGGAAATGTCCCCTTCTGTCTCTCCAGTACATACACGCCAATTAGGAGCATCGGTACAAAGCTCCCAAACTGCAAACAATCAAATACCCCTCGAGTGTCTGTTAAATTATTACAACCTCCAATATTGATAGTAATAACATTGTGCTCTTCTGCCTATAATTTTAATATTTTACTGTAGTCTCTTATAACAACAGAAATATTATCCTCTGTAGTGCTATGTGCTGTTCATAATTGAAATAATAATGCAACATTTCCTTAGCTTAAACTGTTTTACGTATTAAGCCGTAGTTTTTACCACCACCATAACTATCTTACTCTAGGGAACTACATTGTCTCAATACTGTGTTCTTGTCTGTGCTGTGTTATATTTTTTTATTTATTTTAAATATTTTATTTATTTATTTGACAGAGAGTGGGAGAGAGAGTGAGAGAGACCACAAGCTGGAGGAGCAACAGAGGGAGAGGGAGAAGCGGGCACCCCGCTGAGCAGGGAGCCCAACATGGGACTTGATCCCAGGACCCCAGGATCATGACCTGAGCTGAAGGCAGACACTTAACTGACTGAGCCACCCAGGCGCCCCAAGTTTTATTACTATTCTACCCTCAATAAATATTGCAATTTTTCTATATTTTTATTAATTTTATTGATTCTATATATACATATTTTATATAATTAAATATGGATATCCATGTGTATATATATGTGAAAGCTTTCTCTCTTTGGAAAAGCACTGTTGCAATGTTACACTATAATGAGTTATAGGCGCCTCTGAATCTGTTACCAATTACAGGTGACCCTTGAACAACATGGGATTGAACTGTGCAGGTCCCTCTACACACTGATTTGTTTTTGTGGGAGGATTTTTGTTTTTGTTTTTTTTTATAAATACAGTACATACCTGTGAATGCATTTTCTCTTCCTTATGATTTTCTAATATTTTCTTTTCTCTAGCTTACTTTATTGTAAGAATACAGTTTATAATACATATAACACAAAATATGTGTTAGTTGACTATTTAGGTTATCTGTAAGGCTTCCGGTCAATAGTAGGCTATTATTAGTAGTTAAGGTTTTGGGGAGTCAAAAGTTGTACATAGATTTTCAGCTGCATGGGAGGCGGGGAGTTGGTACCCCTTAACCCTGCGCTGTTCAAGGGTCAACTGTATACTGAATGTCCTAGCCAAAATTTTAGTAACTAGGTGTGCTATGTAACGCTTTCACTTTTGCTTTCGCTGGTATTCAGAATAGCTTTATTTTTTATTTCTCCTACTCTATTGTAGCTCTACGAGGGCAAGGACTTCTCTGATACCATCTGTGGCTTTGTCTCCAGCTCTTAGAACAGTGTTTGGCATATAATAAAAATAAAAGCACCATGAACTATCACAAACCTAGCAGTGAACGTTTCCTGAGATCTGATTCTCTGTCTGGTGCTCTTTAAAAATACCTTCGTTGTTGGGCGCCTGGGTGGCTCAGTCGGTTAAGCGACTGCCTTCGGCTCAGGTCATGATCCCAGGGTCCTGGGATCAAGTCCCACATCGGGCTCCCTGCTCTGCGGGGAGCCTGCTTCTCCTTCTCCCCCTCCCCCTGCTGGTGTTCCATCTCTCGCTGTGTCTCTCTCTGTCAAATAAATAAATAAAATCTTTAAAAAAAAAAATACCTTCGTTGTTTGATTAACCTGTGTGATTCTCACATCCAACCTAGGGAGTAAACGTGATTACCATCTCTTTTATGGATGAAGAAACAAAGACATGAGGAGGAACGTCACTTTCCGAAGGTCCTAATACCATATAGCCCCATTATTGTTGAAACGAGACTCTCTGAGTGATGGGCTGAGAAGGAACGAGCAGACAAGAGAGTCTCCGAGGAGTTTGGTCTGAGAAGCTGAGTCAGGTGGAAGGAAAGAGTTTGGTGGAGGGAGATCAAGATTTCTGCTCTGCTACCATAAGATCCAGCAATTGCACTACTGGGTATTTACCCCAAAGATACAAAAGTAGGGATCCGAAGGGGTATGTGCACCCCGATGTTTATAGCAGCAATGTCCACAATAGCCAAACTGTGGAAAGAGCCAAGATGTCCATCGACAGATGACTGGATAAAGAAGATGTGGTATATATATACAATGGAATATTATGCAGCCATCAAAAGGAATGAGATCTTGCCATTTGCAACGACGTGGATGGAACTGGAGGGTATTATGTTGAGTGAAATAAGTCAAACAGAGAAAGACATGTATCATATGATCTCACTGATATGAGGAATTCTTAATCGCAGGAAACAAACTGAGTGTTGTTGGAGTGGGGGGTGGGGTGGGAGGGATGGGGTGACTGGGTGATAGACACTGGGGAGGGTACATGCTCTGGTAAGTGCTGTGAATTGTGCAAGACTGTTGAATCTCAGATCTGTACCTCTGAAACAAATAATGCAATATATGTTAAGAAAAAAAAAAAGAAGAAGAAGGTAGCGGGAGGGGAAGAATGAAGCGGGGGAAATCGGAGGGGTAGACGAACCATGAGAGACGATGGACTCTGAAAAACAAACAGGGTTCTAGAGGGGAGGGGGGTGGGAGGATGGGTTAGCCTGGTGGTGGGTATTGAGGAGGGCACATTCTGCATGGAGCACTGGGTGTTCTGCACAAACAATGAATCATGGAACACTTCATCTAAAACTAATGATGTAATGTATGGGGATTAACATAAGAATAAAAAAAAAAAGATTTCTGCTCTGGTCACATTATGTTGGAGAAAACTATTAGATATCCAAATAGATAAATGGAATGGCCAGTCGGTTGGAGTCACTGAGGGAACAGAGACTCTGAGGCTCTGGGGGGCCGGTGGGTCATTCCCCTGAAGGTGATGCCTGAGGATGCCACAAACCAACAGTGTGAGTCAGCTATGCTATCTTCATGTCACAAGGTACTAAAAATGATGCCACACCCCTGCTTGGAACAGGGAGGGAATTTATAGGTAATGAATAGTGAATAGATAGGGAGTGAAATTATAAATATTTATCAGACACATATTTTGTATTATTAGTATTCAGTTATGGGCATTATTATATATTTGACCTATTGTTGCCAGTTCTATAGAAATATAAAGGAGAATGGTAGGTCATGTAATGTTATTTTTTATAAAAAAATAATTATGGTTATTTAGCATAAATATAATGTGTTGATACTTGTGTGGGCCATAAATGAATTCATTCATTTACTTAGCACAGAACTGAATAATATCAATGACCACCATGGTTACAAAACTATATAGCCCCATCCTTGTTGAAATTTTGACAGCTTCGAATGTTACAGTATTGTTATATTGTTAACAACACTGGAGGTGTTAGAATTTCAAGATATATAGCAATGTAGTATTGTTATTCTTATAAATACTGGCATCATTTTAGGATAAGGCAGTACGATTCCATCAGTTTCTCTAAAATATCAACAGCATAATGTGGTTTTTTGTTGTTTTGTTTTGTTTTTAGTTTTAGTGGCATTCTCCCCACAACTTTTAGATGCCTGTCTTATAAGGCATTCTCAATTCTACTGAGGCATGGAAATTATTCCACTTTATTTGGTAACCATGATCCAGTGGAATCTGTTTTCTTTGGGTCAGGATCCAGTGTTTTAGGAATGCTTACACGTCTGGGTAATTTCACATCTTGTAATATTTGAGATCTAATTTCATCCCTTGTTTATGGGGAAAGCCAGAAGCCAAATGCTCAAGCAATACGCTTGAGAGTCATTTATAATCATTGTTCTTTTTTTTTTTTAAAGATTTTATTTATTTATTTGACAGAGAGAGACACAGTGAGAGCAGGAACACAAGTGGTGGGGGGGGGGGGGGGAGAGAGAAGCAGGCTTCCCGCCGAGCAGGGAGCCCGATGCGGGGCTCGATCTCAGGACCCTGGGACCATGCCCTGAGCTGAAGGCAGATGCTTAAAGACTGAGCCACCCAGGTGACCCTAGTCATTGTTCTTTTCCTCTGTCAAGTCTTTTCAGAATGAATTCCTAGGATTTATGGCTTTATTTCTACTCCCAACACTCGAGTATTATGGGGGCTTGTGTTCTCATCCAAATTATGATTTCTACTGAAGCTTGGTTCAAAAAAATTCAGGGTTCTTTGTCATAAATTCTTCCCATGCAGATGATATTTTGGTTTACTTCTGTAAATATTTTTATAACTGAGAGTGAAGCACCTAAACAATTGTGAAATATTTGTCTAGAATCTGCTTTAGAACGAAGTCTCTGCCAACAATCCTCCTTTCCCGGTATCTGGAATGGGTGACTTTTCCATGCAATATTCAGTCTGTAGTCTCAGAAATAAAGCGAAAATCAAAAGATGATGATTTTAATATACTTTATTTAAAAAGTACACAGTTTTAAATTGGTTTCAATGGGTTTCAAGCAGAAGGGACACTGCCCACTCGCAGTCCCATTTCTGATGAAGGGTGATTATCATGTAGCAAACTCACATTTGCATGACTGGCAAAGTAAAAAGATAACTTTTTTTGTCAACATATCTTTAAGAGTTTATATCACGCACAGTTTAAAATCATGAGATGCTGATGGTTGGACTACATTTCATGTCTCCTATGTCGCACCATATTTTGGTTCACAGTTTATCCATAATTTAGCATGCCAAGAGAACATCTCAGTCAGTGTCACCTTGAGAAGAGCATCAAGAGCAGTGGGAAGAGGATAAGGACCATCTTGGCCTGCAGACTGGGCGCACCTCCACACTCCCTTGCATTCTCCTACAGGGGAAGACAGGAGCTGTTAGAACCAGATAGATCCCAAGATGCCTTCAACTTTCTGAGCTGTATCAAGTCCCCAGACCTCACCCTACGCCCTCCAATGTAGGAATCAAGTCTTTTGGAACCTAGATAGTGCAAGGAAATGGACTTGTCTAAATTTCATCAAGTTTGTGATGAGTATCTCTGATTTCAATTGTCAGCGCATAAAATGTTCCAAACTACTCTGTGCATACTATTACACAGAACACTCAAGAGGCCAAGGGCTGTTGGTGGAGATGTCTGTTGTGATCGAATAAGAACAGCAGAATATCGGCCTTCTAATGTTTTCCTGTCAGAATGTAAGTAAAAGTTGACATCTAAGGAGTCTGATCATTGCAGAAACAGTTATAGAAGGTTTTGTGAGTGTCTTCTTTCTTTTCGTTTGGGGAAAGGAGGGCTTTGTTTTATAAAAATGAAATCATATTATGTAATCCTTTCTGCAGTGTGCTTTTTATCCACTGGTTGATGGAAATTCTTCCAGCTCCATTTTTCTAGCTCTACTGTATTATCTCCCACTCCCCCTGCTTGTGTTCCCTCTCTCACCGTGTCTCTCTGTCAAATAAATAAAATCTTTAAAAAATAAATAAATAAAATTATCTTTTTCCATAAAAAAATTTATAATTTGTATATAAAGAAATTCTGTTTTTCATCCATAGCTGTCTGGTCTTGATAGAAAGATTTCTCCAATCCCTAAAATTTCTTGTGAGACTATTATTTTACCATTTAAATCTAATCTATATTTTCCCCTTTGAATTGAACCTTTGTCATATCTAAGAATTTCTATGCTGTCCTACTGACCTCATCTTACTAGATCTAGAAACTTACAGAAAGAAATACTAATTTTTTGAATGTTGATCTTATATCTATTTACCAAAGTAAATTATCTTATTAACTCCAAAAGATTTTTACTCTAGTGACTTTAGTTGTCTACATAGGCATTCTGGTTTTTTTTTTTTAAAGACTTTATTTATTTATTTGAGACAGAGAGAATGAGAGAGAGAGAGCACATGAGAGGGGGGAGGGTCAGAGGAAGAAGCAGACTCCCTGCCGAGCAGGGAGCCCGATGCGGGACTCGATCCAGGGACTCCAGGATCATGACCTGAGCCGAAGGCAGTCGCTTAACCAACTGAGCCACCCAGGCGCCCAGGCATTCTGGTTTTAATTGAAGCGATTTTAGTGTTTGGGTACTATTACTTGTATTTGAATTTTACACAAGGATTTTTTAATTTGAATTTTATCATTGAATTTGAGCAAAGATCTTTCCAGCATATATTTGCATAATATGTTGCTACTGAACACTCTTTTGAATATAGAAGCAAACATTCTTGATAAATTCCAAGTTCTTATTGGTACTCTAGTGACTTTAACATCTTCTCTAGGACTTGGAGAGTTTAAGATTAAAATTATTTGCTATTTAAAGGTGGGATTTAAAGTCAGTCAGTTGGCTTTGGTGGCGTTTTTAAAAATAGAGATCTTCCCAGGCTCTCCATAATAATAACTGGTCTAGACAAGCTTTGCATTTTTTGAAGTGGTGTGGAGTTAGTTTTTAAATTTCTGTTATTTTTGCTAGACTAAAAAGGTTTTTTTTTGCCTATGGTACTTTGGGGGTATTCTCCTTTATCAGTGCTAAGTTTAATTTTTTTTTCCGATCCTCACTTCTGGTGTAAATGGAGCGCCTTTATAGTTTTGCCTTCAGGTGGTGAGGGGGTTTGGAAGCTTATCATTCCACCTGCATAAACTGTGACTCTGGATCTGACACCAGTATTGCCACTTCTGCTTTCCATGGACTTCTTGCAAATAAAAGGCTGTCGAAAAGTCAGCAGGGGAACATGATTTGAACTACAATTTGAAATAAGTAAACCAAGATGGTCAGAGCCACAGTGTATGTAATAGCATAAAGTAATTACACTGCAGCACAGCCATAATAGGGAAGGAAGAGAGTAAAGAAGCTTTAAACTATATACAGAGATAGAATAAGACCGTGAAGCACAGACGGAACGTGAAGGCGTTGAGGGGCTAAAGTAGAGTGCCGCTAGCCTTTCACTGCTTCCACTGATCTGCCTGCAAGGGATTGTTTCCTCACCAGTAAACTTCTTTGCTACAGTTCTTTGACCATTATGAGACTCTCACGGTGAATCTGGTGGAAAAAGAGAACAAGAAGGGTTCGCAGACTTACCTCAGGATGGAAGCCATGACAAGACTCCGGACGCCTTCTGATCTTCTGGGCCTTTAAACGTTCACACTTAAGGGATTCGTTATGTTGACTGTAGTTAAGGCATATTGCCCAGATGTCACTTTCCCTTACTCTGCATGTTGGAGGTCAAACCTTGGCACTGAACTCCCTTAAATACTTTTCTCTCTCCAGTTGTGGAAAGGCTGTCATTTCCCCCTCTGTAGTATTTCTCCCCTAGGTTTCCTTACTGTCCATCCCCCTCACCAGCTTCAGCAGCAGTGGCTGGACCCACGCACGAAAGGATATACCTGATTTCAATGGGCGCCATGGTAATGGGGGTCACAGACTCACACAGGCAGCTGCTGTCCACCACCACCATGAACAGATTGCTGCTTGGAATTTGCTGGATGACAAAGGACCTGTTGGAACATGAAGCACAGAGACAGTGAGTGGTTGTTTACCATCTGTCAAGTCAAGAATCCTGAGGAAAACTTCTCCCCTGGGGAGTTAACTCCTCTAATATTTTGGAAAACAGTTCTCAGAGACTGCCTTACTACTGAACTTGCCTCTTCCGTGAGGCTCTTCAATTTTAAATACCAAGTTTCACTAAAAAGACAACAGTTAAAACCTATGCCTGCAGCTACACATAGCTCCTAAAACTCACCTTGGGAAGACTGGAATGTCACGTGCACAAAACAGGAGAGTCAGGTTGGCTAAATCAACCCAATTTCCAAGGTGATGGGGTCAGGCTTTTCCAAGCCTTGCTTCCTTCTCCCAGATTACATTCAATGTTCTTGGTCTCTCTCCCCAGAATGATGCAGTGAATTTCCTAGACCCTTCCCTGGACTGCTTCGCACAATTTCTGCCCGTAATAGAGGTACAATGTTTGCATGAGATTAACGCGGGTCGTTTGGGAGTTCCACAATGTTGAGGCCGTGCATGCTAGCGCTCAGGCTATGCGACCGCGCTGACATCCGGGTCCAACAGGACAGCTAGTCCAACGGAAAGTAAGCCTATTGGCACCTGCTCGCTCATCACCCGACACAGTGAAATGACAAAGTAACACCACTGTCAAAACACTCTTGGAGCAAGAAATACCACTGATTCTTTGGAGGAACAAATTAGAGAACAAAATCCCATATTCTTCCAGTTGCTTAGCCCCAAGTCTAGAATCCCTGTCATATAATATAATTTTTCATGATATTTCGCTAAATTTTGTTCAGTCGGATGAGGTAGACTGTAACTTAACAAAGCGGTCAATTTCTCTGTAAGTTTTACCTTCATTCATCTTTCTCTCAACAAATTTGTTCTATTCTCTGAAGTGGATCACCACAACTTACTGAAATCATGCAATGAGAAGAATCCTTCTGTTTTGTGGGAAATTATAAAGAGGAGAAAGGACGACCTTTTTATTTTTACCTTTTAATGCCTCTTATGTTGAATTATCCAAAAATGGCTCAAAGATTATAACACAACTTGTTTCTTGTCTACAAATGCTGGATGCCTATTCATCTAATATTCTGCAATTATGTTTGTGTGTGTGTGTTTTTTTTAATCCATAGCAGGGAACAGGCATGCCTTTGCTCAGAGATGCTTCCTTAATGCCATCCATACTCTGGAACATGGACTTCGCCCTCCCACCCTTCTTCATAACTCTACTTGGCTTGAGGAAAAAAATTCAACCTTGCTGTCTCACTTAGACTTTAAAATTGTTGGCTTTACCCTCCCCCTTTTAGCACTAGGTACCTTCTCTCCTCTGCAAAGACATTTCTCTAGTAGGGGGCCTCTTTGAAATGGGTGATGCCTATCAGAATGAAAATAACCTACCTTAGATGGTGCTTATCAGAGAACCAATGATTTCCATGGTGAAGGCAGGTTAACAGAGTCTCAAAGACAAATGCGAAACCAAGATCATACAACTCTTTAAAGAACAAATGATTGACTAGAATATTAAGCCAAATGAATCTACCAGATGGCCAAAAAAAAGGAAAAAGAGATGAAAATATGAAATAGAAGCTCCAAAGGGAGAGAGGATATTTTCCAATTGAAGAAAAATTTGACTTTTTTTTTTCACTAAAAGGGTCCATTCATGCACGAGTGAAACTTCAGATCATCAAAGATGCAGACCAATCCTGAAAGTGTCTCTAGAAACAAATTACTTAAAGAAGAATGAGAATGACACAAACTTCTCAATGGGGGACTTAAGATGAAGAAAACAGAGCAACATTTTTCAAGTTCTGAGGGAATGGAAAAAAGGAAATATTAAAAGGTATGTCAGAATCCAGAGGAAAATAGATTCTAACTAACTGGAGATGTAGGTAGAAACTTGTGTTTTAAAATTTAGGGATAATTACTGAAAATAAACCGAAGGATGAAGATCTGATTAATCTAAGAGAGCATGGTAAACAACACACAGGTGCATGTGAGCACACACACATGACTACTGGTATAATATAAAATTATTAGCAATCATGATTAATGTCTGTTGATTAGATTCACATATTAAAAGGCAGAGACTCAAAAAATTAATTTAAAAAAAAGGCAGAGATTCTTAAATTGGGTTTATGAAAACACCAGCATTATGCTGTTTGCAAGGAGACACTCCTAAAACAGAATGGCAGGAGAGGACAAAAAGACACCAGAAAAATGCTAAAGACAAAAGAGAGAGACAGGTTTAGTAGTATTCTTCTACAAATATTCACAGGGAAAATCATTAAAATGTAATAAAGAAAACAGTTTGTACTGAAAAATAGTATAGTAGTATAACAAGCTATGATATGAACCTTTATGATCAGAGTGTATAAACCCATAGAAATGCCACAAGTGATTAACACATGATTTATTTAAAAATGGAGTGAAAATTCCTCATATCTAAACAATAGAGAATATAAACTATTTTCAAACACGGGGAACTGCAACACATTTCAAAGAGCAGAAAGCATCAATGACATGTTCTTTTAGGGTAGGGTACAGTTAGAAATTAATAGGAAAAAATATATGAACAGTGGAAATTAAAAATTTAAAAAAAAAAAAAAAAAACACATTCAAGTAATCCTTGACAATTTAAGAACAGCCCAGACTCAAATCTGTGCAGTATGACCTTAAATATGTTTATTGGGAAAAACAGTTTGCCAATAAATGAACTAAGTTTTTGGATGGAGAAGCTGGAAAAAATAAGAACACAGGCCTGCACCTGTGCCCCTACCCTTGGTCTTCCCTCTGGTACCCTGGGTTGTGTACTGATCGCTCTCTCCACCAGCTCTCAGGCTTCTCCAACGATGGGGCTGATGGAAGGGACGAGAGATGACCATTGCATAGTTCCCCTCAGGTCACAAACATGCTGTCACATCTCCCACCTTGGGAAAAAGAAAACTCTCCCTTGACCTCACCTCCAGCTAGTGCCCTATTTCTCTGTCTTCTTTCATAGCATGAATCTTTTTTTTTTTTTTTTAAAGATTTTATTTATTTATTAATGAGAGAGAGAGAGCACATGAGAGGGGGGAGGGTCAGAGGGAGAAGCAGACTCCCCGCCGAGCAGGGAGCCCGATGCGGGACTCGATCCTGGGACTCCAGGATCATGACCTGAGCCGAAGGCAGTCGCTCAACCAACTGAGCCACCCAGGCGCCCCTCATAGCATGAATCTTAAAAAGAATTCTCCACAGTCTGTCTACTTCCCTGCACCCCTCCTTTCACAAACCCACCACAATTCTTCTGTATTCCTTTCCACTTCGCTGAATCAGTCCTGTCAAGGACCCAGTGACCTGACTACCTTTCTTCTAGCCTGGGCCTCTGCTCCGTCCTTACTTGCTTCCTGTCCTCCCTTCACCCCAGACTGTTGTTTCCATGGGAGGAAGGCTGCATCTGTCTGCCCCAGTAATCTGTTACAACACCAGCACCTAGAGCTGTGCCTGGGACTGAGCAGATTCTCTGCAAATAATTGTTGACTCAGTGACGAAAGGAATTTATAAAGATAAAAGCAAAAGAATAAATGCAAATAAAACTGTGAAGATAATTGAAAGAACCAAGCTCTGGTTTAAAAGAACATTGACATAAATCAGCCTTTGGCACAAAAGAAAGAAGTTACAAAGTCACATTAAAACCCAAAAGATCCAGAGGCATTTAAGCATTTTAAGTGACTATTATGTATACCATGGCAAACAATTTGAAAAGTTAGAGCAAACACACCTTTGGGGATAAAGTATAAATTATCAACATTTGACCAAGCTGTAAAAACACAAGGAGACCAACTGCTGTGAAAAAAAACCTGAAATGCTCATTGAGAATCTACCCGCAAGTGAATACGACCAAGTCACCCAAAGAACAGATATCAGTGTGTTCATTGAAAACCCATGTGAACCCACTGACCAACTACTAGAATAAAAGAAGTCAGCAAGCTGACCAGTTACATAATCAGCATATCAAACCACAGCCTCTCCCTGGACACAGGCAATAACCAATGAAAAAAAATATTTATGAAATAAAGAACCACTGAGTATCAATAATGACTATGAAATGCCTAAGAATAAATCTTTTTTTTTTTTTTTAAGATTTTATTTATTTTTTGACAGAGAGAGACACAGCGAGAGAGGGAACACAAGCAGGGGGAGTGGGAGAGGGAGAAGCAGGCTTCCCACGGAGCAGGGAGTCCCACGGAGCGGGGCTCGATCCCAGGACCCCGGGACCATGACCTGAGCCGAAGGCAGATGCTTAACGACCGAGCCACCCAGGCGCCCTCTAAATATTTTTTTAAGATTTTATTTATTCATTTGAGACAGAGAGATACAGAGAGAGAGAGACTGAGCAGGGAGAGCAGCAAAAGGAGAGGGAGAGCCGGGAGTCCGATGCAGGGCTCGATCCCAGGACCCTGGGATCATGACCTGAGCCGAAGGCAGACGCTTAACGACTGAGCCACCCAGGCGCCCCAAATAAATCTAGTAAAAGACTTCTTTATGAAGAAAATGACCAAACTTTACTGAACATAAAAAGACAAACTAAGAATTGGGGGGGGAGTACAATGGTGGTGGAAAGGAGCACTTATATACGACACTTATATACGAAAGATGTCATTTCTCTTTCAATGGACCGTTTAATTCAAGCAAAGGAATTCAAAGGGATTCTTATTGGGATTTTTGATGGAATTTGAGGTATTGATCCAAAGATTCATTCAGAAGAGTAAATATAAAGAATAATCTGGACAGGGGCGCCTGGGTGGCTCAGTTGGTTAAGCGACTGCCTTCGGCTCAGGTCATGATCCTGGAGTCCCAGGATCGAGTCCCGCATCGGGCTCCTTGTTCGGCAGGGAGTCTGCTTCTCCCTCTGACCCTCCTCCCTCTCATGCTCTCTGTCTCTCATTCTCTCTCTCTCAAATAAATAAATAAAATCTTTAAAAAAAAAAAAAGAATAGTCTGGACAATTGCA